ATCACTTGATCAAGATTAGATTTCTTCTGTTTCTCAAATTGAAGGACATGTTATTATCATTCACGCTACATGTTATACATTACCACCAGCAGTAAAGCTCAAAAGCGCCAGAAAACCACTGGTGAAGTGATACTTGGCAACACATGGTCTTTGTCCTCTAAATTTGATTAATAAATCCCAATAAACAAGAATATGCCTGCATTTAATATCACTCTCCTGCATATCACGAGCTGTGGTGAAGGCCTGGTGTTCACTTATTATGTCGGATTAGGCCGGGTTCGATTCTCCACATATATTAAATGTGTGAGGTCCATTTCTGACGACCCTGTTGTGATACGGCTTGAGTATTATTAATTAAACGGGGTAAAACTATTTTCACTGTCATGCATAGCTACAAATGAACAAACGACTTTCTAAACCCAACGACTTAGGGATTGCCTTCTTCACGGAACAGTGTTTTGTGTCAGTAAATACCAATATGTATTGCTGTACATATTTCCCAGATATAGTAAGATCCCGAGATAGTAAGTACAAAGTACCTCCACATTCGAGTACAGACGTAAGCAAATCTCTCAACACCACCGCCTAAAAAGTTACGCTTGATGGCACGGACATTTGAAGCTCACATCTTGATACCACTCACGTTATTAAATTTAAATGTTCCGCCATCATACGACCCCAAATGTTCCCTGTACAACTTGCGTATAGCATTACATCTGTGTACGACCGTTTCGAATGTTAATCCTGTCTGCTGAAAAATTCAGAATATGGAGTGATTATATTTCATAGTAGCTGAAATGAGTATGAAACTGATAGTCATGCATACAACTGCTGCACGGCCTGTGATAACATCAGATCCTCGATCAGGGCTGGCTAGGAATAAGGCACAGCTCAAGGTATGATAAATGTATGTAGTTAATGGCTTGTGATAGAACTAAGACATTCTCAGCTGTTGAATCACCCGCCAAGGTGGAATTTTACTCCCCCCATTGTAGAACGGGAAATAATACTTGGTCATGATTCAAGAGATACATTAGCAGTACTGCAGTCTTATAGCATCGCCTTGCATCAACGATTAAAGTTAACTGACTAAAGTCCCCTCCAAGTGAAGCGTTTCTTTTATTATTTTCATATTTTGTGATTGTTGACGATTAAGCTTTAATATGTATCATTTATTACTTATTTTGTTGATGTGTATTAAATCCATGTTAACATACAAATATTTTATGCGATTAAAATGTAATTTATTTCAACAATAATCACCAAGAAAAGAACAGTCACGTTTCCGTTTGGGCATAAGATAAATAATATATTTAAAACAGTTTCAAGTCTTATTTGACAGTGTTTTGTTATTGCCTTCATGTTGTGAGAAGGAGAATGAATGTACTTTTGGATTTCCTTGTTAAGCCAACTTTTTTGTGGTTAATACAATCCACTGTAATAACTCTTGTAGTCGTAAAACCAAAAATGTCAAATTTGTACAATTGTGGACAGTTGTCTCTATAATTCAATACCAATATACTCTTGTAAATGTCTATTTTGAGGAGATGTCGTAAGAAAGTGTTATCAAACACGACAGTTATTACCCCATTTTGCACCAACCCTGACAGTCGACCATAAACACACTGCTTTATAACAGCACTCGGTCCAGATCGATGTACTTGTTTTTTCTCAAAGTCGGTGTGTTGCAAGAAACACATGTCGTAAATGAACCCCAGGGCAAAATTAATACGTCTCTCGTAAAGATTCTAATCATATGACCATATAAATGTCACAAGCCATTGACTTTAGTTGCCTGTCGACAAAGATGTGGCGTGGTACACCGACTGGGAAATATCTGGATTTCATTTGATGAACACAAGTCTTGGTTGTGGAAAAAGCACGTCTCGCCAGCTCTTTTACACATATGAAACAAGTAAATATGTGAAAGAGAACGAAAATTCAACAGAGAGAAATGCATTGTTTCAGAACATTTTTACCTAATAAAGATGGAACATTGATATAATATATTTATTCGTTCTTACAATTTTAGAGAGGAAACATTTCAACTGTATATTGTTGCTTGATGTACTTAGAGCGAATTAAAAAAATAGATTTTTATTATCAGCGACAGGTATGCGTGTGTTAACACGAGATAATATTGTGTTTTGAGGCAGACAGCATTATCCAAGCCAAATCGTTTCTGTCTGTACATGAACAAGACGCGAACAGTCACACCAGGGGTTGACAGCATGAACATGAAACTCGGGAAACACTGGCGCAGCATTTGTATTTTCTGTTTCTCACAGAGAAATTGTAATAAGAATCACAATAAATGAGAATCAAAAACATTATTCAGATAATTTTGTCTTTATTTTTATTTTATTTTTTCCCGACCGACCGACCGACCGACCGACCGACCGAACCATGTTCAGAATTTGGTGGCTACGTGAAACGCATATTAAAAATGATGCCCTCATTGAATATTTGGCCTGAATTATAGACTAATTCAGTATAAGATGTTGGAAAGCGAGGACACGGATGGCACCAGGATATGATATTCTGGGTTCGAATCCCACCATTCGTCGATGATGTGCCTCAGTGAACATTAACCTTCGTCATTAGAAATCGTCTTATACTGGAGTGGAGGCAGACTCTCAGTAATATGATTGTAACACTGAACATTAAAATGCGTATTGGATTCCAAATGGATTTTAGACCCTGCATACATTCATTCCCAACGCTGAAGTGTAACACAAGCACCATTGTAATTTACCCTATTACACTACCTATAATTGTCAGGTTTTGGAGTAGGGTGTTAACATACTTCTGGCGGCATTTTCCGCGATTCTGAAATATGAATATCATGTTTCTCATTTTCCATTCACTTAGCTGTGCGAAATAGGCAAAAGACTCGTGGTGAATTCTTGTTCATTATCAATTTTGAGGCGTTCGCGTTTCACTTAGAATATCCGTTAATGTCCGAGGACAGTGTATATGTGTAAATGCAGCGGGTATTGGATCACGGCACCACACGATAGTGTCAGGTGTAAATGACTGATTCCTGCCTGTAAACTGACAACAACAGTTGGTTTATTTAGCCCTGACTCAACATGAAGGCTATGTATTTAGTAACGACCGTTTGAAATGGGATCTTCAAAGACGATAACCTCTTTGAAATGGGGTTGCGGAAAATCAGGGCCCAATGTGTTTTAAATCAGCATCATGTTATGTAATTGGAGGAAGATGCGTTACTTTGCCGTGTAAGACAAGGAGGATGAGAAGAAGATGTCGAGATTACTGGGAATATAGAGCTTGATGTTGGACAGTAGAAGAGGGTTGGCTGTAGAGGTAGAGGGTGGTTTGTAGAGGTAGGGGTGGGTGGGGGTAATTGATTCTGGGGTGAGGTGGGCTTGGAGATGATGCCGGGATGGACCGATTGTCGGGGTGTATTTGGTGAGTGTGGTTGTTGTGATGGGAAGGAAAAATACTAGTGACTGAAAGAAATTTCCCACTTTGTAAATGAATTCATTAAGGTGATGAATTTCATTACTTATTTATCTGTCCAGTTTTGGAAATGTGAGAAATCAGCAAATTCACAAATGTGTTTACACTAAATCAAATGCCTTTAAAATGAAATTACGTTTTACTAGTAAAAAGCTAGGAACTCCACGAAAATTATCCAAAATGTGTAAAACCATTATGTTACTGTCTAACACAAACGACATGTTTAGCAATTGAATATTGTACTCTGATATCTGTTCTCGCTGCTCGGTGAAGTTGGTTATGCGTATTGTATATCTGTAATACATGTAAGATTGTGATCTGGAGTGAGTAATTATTGTTGGGATATGGTAGGGGTGTAATTTCGGGTGAGGAGGAAGTTTTGTGATCACGAGGTAAGACTTGTGATTGGGTTAATGTGGCGTGGAATGAATGTGGGGATAGGATATGATGGATGTGGTTGAGGGTGCGCTGTTTCGATAAGGTAGGTGTTGTGGTGTGGCGTTGGAGTCGTAGGGGGTTTGATAGGCACAAACAGACATACTTTTATCGCCAGGATGTATGGTGCAGAAATTTACAAAATCCCAAGTAATTATGTTGTGTCGTTCAACGTTTACCATCATGGGTTCTTCTTAGCCAAGCAGCCTGTTGTTATGAGAGTAAGAAAACTAGCCGTCAGCTAAGGATGCCTCTTGCTTATCTTGGAGGCGGCCATACAGTATTGCACAACTTGCGAGTTCCCCCAAGCAATAAACAAATCCACACCCATCAATTTGGCACAGTAACAAACCGAAAGAAGTTATTTATGCTCACTTATGCCCCGAGGGCAACCACAGAGCATCAGCATCAGAGTTACACGTTTCTTGGCATCTGTCGTTTTTATAATTGAATGGCGTGGTGCATCATTTGGCGATGTCGACATTTTGAAGTATAGTGTTATCTATCAGGAATGTTGACTTGGCGATAAGCGATTTTATTTGTTCTGTTTGGGGCGGTTGGTTAAATAGATGTCAAACACTTTATAAAGTCTTGCTGTTAAAATGTTTATGTTGCAATGACGCTCTATAGTCAACATTATCTCCTCTCAAGCTGATAGTGGTGGCAGGGTAACCTGTTGTATAAAGCATTCGCTCGTCATGTCAGAGGCGTGTATTCGATTGTAGGCAACCTATTTACCGTGTCTCTTGTGTGAAAATGGATATAATGAAGTCAGCTGGTGTACTCTCTCCGAAAACACCCAAAACAAAACAACAACATCAGTAAACACCAAAAACACAAAACATACAGTCAGGTTGCCCCTCCACCCACATGAATATTGTGGAACTATCATGAGCGGTGGAGTCGAGTAACATATGTCCATGAGTTCTATTTAACTTGCACATGTAACAATGCTCATTTGTGTGTGTACAGTCATGGGAGACTTCCAGGAAGAAACTTTCATCTTTCCCCCATTAACACATATCCGTCGACTATGATTCTAAGATCGATCTCTAACCTATTTTTGTTTGCTATTGCAGGAGATTCCGGGTACGACCGGGTCCGTCCCTTGTCCTACACAGATGCAGATCTCATAATGATCTGTTTCTCAGTCGCAGACCCGGAGTCTATGGAGAACGTCGTATCAAAGGTGAGCTCACCAAGGCCTAAAATATATGGCATGTCAATGGAACCTTGACATAAAGAAACATTATTTGGGTCATGATAGAATCAGTTTGGGGTAATTTCGTATGAAAACGTGTGTGAGTACTATTTCACCTAACAGCTGACGTAATTTGTGGATCGATAGCCAGGCTCTGTGACGATCTCATTGGACGATGCTGATAGTATCAACCACTGGTTTAGTTTCTCCAGATTCAATCCAACATTGGTGGACATGGCAGAAATGTTGTTGACGCCTTGAATAGTATTTCATCACGATGCTTTTTATGTACTGGATCAATATAATAGTACCAGCGTGTTAGCGTTGATACGAATGTACTTGGTGATTACATTATACAGTATTGCTGGAGTATTAGTTTAAGACGGGTTTTATGTTTATAGTTTACCATATCTTCCATCGTCTCAAGACCGCCTCCGTGGTGTAGTGAATAGAGCGTCCGCCCGGAGAGAGGAAGGTCGCGGGTTCGATCCCCGACCGCGTTCATATACCAAAAGACATTAACATATGGTACTTGTTGGTCCCTGCCTGGCGCTCGGCATTAATGGGTACAACAAGGACTGGTCGGCTCGGAGTCAGTATAATGTGTTTGAGTGGGGTATTCATGCTTCACTGCGGCGCGGTATCTCAGTGGGCTAGCACTATTAAACCAGCTTAAGTCTTGGTTAGTACAAGCAGCCGCACATCCACATACACACGCATGCAAGTCGTCATATGAGCGAAATATTCTCAAGCACGACGTTGAACCCAATTTCACCTCACCTCCATCGTCTCAACTTGATGCAATATTTATTTCAGTGGTTACCCGAGGTGCGAGAACATTGCCCCAAACAGCCCCTCATGTTGGTGGGCTGCAAAACAGATCTTCGAAACGAGATAAAAACTGTCCCACCAAGCAAAGACAAGACACCGTCAATAGTATCATACGACCAGGTGAGTTGTGTAATGAGACGTGTGCAGAGACTTAACTCCAATGTAATGAGACTGTTAGACACGTTGCTGACCAATTAGTGAACCAAATAGCACTGCATGCCAAAATACCCCCAGTGGCCGTTCTGGTTTTGTATAAGTCTTCGGTACCTTATGTTCATCTGGTTGGATGAATTAGCTTTTACGCCGCTGTTACCAACTTTCCAGCAATATCACGGCTGGGGACACCAGAAATGGGTTTCATGAAATTGTAGTCTTGCGGGGAAGTGAACCCGGTTCTTCGGCGTGACAAGCAAACGCTTTAACCACTGTGCTACCCAACGGCATGAAATCATCTGGAATGTATCTGGGGCTCTCAGGCTGACTTCGCACCCCATGAAATATTTGCTGGCTCATCCTTTCGAAGATGAAAGTAACTTTGAAAGAATATGTTATTGACTGAATGACCATTTTCTTAAACCCAGAAAATATATACACCAACACGCACGCAGGCATGCGCATACAATCACACGGACACACAAACAAACGCACTGCCCACGTGTAGTGGTTTTGGAGCAGTAAGTTTTTAAGTTACAATTTCATCATTGCTTTGATAAGTCTCAACCTATCTGGTCCCGACAAGCAGATGTCTAAGCAGATAAAGACATATGTCCAAATCACAGGAAAAGGACACCTGGTTGATAAGCATGTGAAGGAGAATCTTCATTTAGTGCGATCTCGTGGAGAAAATTCATAATTTCATGCGGCGTTGGGGTAGCCAAGTGGTTAAGCGTTCGCTCGTCACGCTAAAGATTCCCCACATGGGTACAATGTATGGTGGTATCAAAAAAATTCTGACGCTTTGCTCTTGTATTTGCAGGGTTTGAAGACGGCCAAACACATCGGAGCCCTTGTATATTCCGAAACAGCTTCGAAAACGTCGCAGAGAAGCGTCAATGACGTCATGGAGGTTGCCGCACTATCGTCAGCCGGGACAAAGGGCAATACACCTGAAGCTACCAGTTTTCGCCGTCAGAGGTCCTTCATTCGCCGGAAACGGTTCAGTGGTATGAACGAGGCCAAAATGCATTTGAGGAAAGAAGCAGCCAAAAGCTGCGTCGTCATGTGATCCTGTGCAAAAACAGCTGAACTTTATTTATCTTATTTATAATGCATCTCAGTTCATAGTTTTCAACCGTGAACCGCTCAGGCATTTGCGTACAGACGTCACTAATGCTCATCGGACTGAACCTGTGTACACGTTTTCGTCAGAATTAGTGACGTCATAATGATGCGTGAACACGTCATCAAAACGTGTAGTGAAACGACACTAGCCATAATTCACAACTTGTTTCCACTTACTTTAAAGCATATTATTGCTTGTTACAAAGATCTCTTTGGACACTTGAACTTGTGTATACGTCATTGAGTTATGTGTAGCCCTAATTTTAATGGCTTATCTGTCAGAACTGCACTTTTGTCGCGTTTCAAGCCCCACAAAACCCGTTTGCAAGCCGGAGAAATCTATATCTCTGCTTGTGGTGTATAAACCAGTTTGTGTACTCGTCATCACGTTTTGTGTACTCGTCATCGAAATGTGTTCTCAGCTGTGATATTATCGCAAATCCAAACCCAGCAAGTATTCTTGCCTACGAAACGAACACAGAATGTATGACGTCATCAGAAAAGGATAGCAGAACGCGTGACGTCATCTGAAAACGTACCAGGTGCTTTGTTGTTTCGTTTTGTTTTCTCGCCCGTCGTCTTCAAAGAAGGCGTAAAGTTGACTGTGGAATCTAGTGCAAAGACTGTATATAGGGATGGTGTTTGAGATACGTTGGCGTTGCCATGTGAATGAATGAATGAGATGTTGACTGAGCTGTTGTGTGAATGACATCGTTATGTAATTCATGGATGTTCGTTTCTGTTTGTAATACCTAAACGACATAATTCTTTAAAAAAGAATAAAAAGTCTTTTGAAACAGTTAGTTGTGTTATATATGTTCCATGCATTGGGCAGCAACAAAAGCAACAACCTCACAGAACTACTCAATGTTTCCTTTGGGTATCTAATGGCCAAAGCGTTCGCTCGTCACGTCGAAGGCCCGGGTTCGATTCCTTACATGGGTACAATGTGTGGAGCCCATTTCTGGTGTTCGCCGTGATGTTGCTGGAATATTGCTAACAGCGATGTAATACCATACTCACTCACTCTAAGGCACAGCAATTTGCTGTTCAGATTTGCGTTCCTTTGGCATATAATCTTGGGATCTAATCGCATATACTGTCTAAATCCACGTCAAACCCAACTGGCCGATTCCTCTACGACACTCTACACAGGTGAAGATCCGGGTAAGAATTGGTCTTCAGCAGCCCATGTTTGTCGTAAGCGGCGACAAACGGGATCGGTCAGGCTCGCTGACTTGGAGGAAACATGACATCATATTCCATTATTCATGATCCTGATGTTGATCACTGGATTGTCTGGAACAGACTAGATTATATACGAGAATACTGCAGAGTGCGGCGTTAAACAACAAGGAAACACATTCTAAAGACTGATATTGGTACTGTATGTGATATTTTACTGACAAGATTGAGTGAGTGAGTTTAGTTTTACGCCTTACACGGCAATATTCCAGCTATATGGCGGCAGTCTGTAAATAATCGAGTCTCGACCAGACAATCCAGTGATCAACAGCATGAGCATCGATCTGCGCAGTTGGGAACCGATGACAAGTCAGCGAGCCTGAGCACCCAATCCCGTTAGTCGCCTCTTACGACTACTGCCGAGAGAGCGATAGCCTTGTATAGAAAACGTTTGCTCATCGGACTGAAAATCCGTGTTAAATTCCCAGATGACATGGGTTCAAAGTCTAAAAGCCCGTTTCTGTTATCCCTCGCCATATTGTTCCAGGGATAGTGTTGAAAGCAAGCGAATCCGTTTTGATTGATTCCAGTATTATTGTCGCTTCCTTGGATCGATAACAGGCGTGATCCCTTTAAAACTCTCATTAACAAGGTGTTTTCACTCTCCGACTTTCAACGTTAAGTTATTCCGAATCATAACCAACCCACATCTGCCAATAATTGTATGTTGTTGATATATTAACCGACAGAAAGTCTGCGTTGCGGAAGGAACCTCATTGTGGAACTGCTTGCCCTTTACTGAATCCACCGACGTAGTGTGCATCAGCATCAGCAGCAACATCCCCACTACATTGTTACACGTGTACCGCAGTAAAGTCGAAATAAACAAACTCAACTCTATTCCTCGAGAGAATATTTTTGTCAAACATATCTGATAGATTCCACACGATAACTGCAGGAAAGGTTAGCCTATTCTCAGATGCAATGGTTACAAATATAGATCTTGAGATCAGCCATGTCTGTGATTACATTTATTTGAAATATGTATTCACAGTAACGGCATGTCCAGACCGCCTCCGTGGTGTAGTGGTTAGAGCGTCCGCCCGGAGAGCGGAAGGTCGCGGGTTCGATCCCCGACCGCGTCATACCAAAAGACGTTAAAATATGGTACTTGTTGGTTCCTGCCTGGCGCTCGGCATTAATGGGTACAACAAGGACTGGTCGGCTCGGAGTCAGTATAATGTGTCTGAGTGGGGTATTCCTGCTTCACTGCGGCATGGTATCTCAGTGGGCTAGCACTATAAAACCAGCCTAAGTCTGGGCTAGTACAAGCAGCCGCACATCCACATACACACGCATGCACGCCGTCATATGAGCGAAATATTCTCAAGCACGACGTTAAACCCAATTTCACCTCACCTCAGTAATGGCATGTTATGGTTTATCAGGTCAGGTCCGGCCGTTCATCTTGCGATGATGCTTCTGATAGAAACCTCCATGTGGTACAACCATCGAAGAGTCTTTTGATTAAAAACACAAATAATGCAGAAGTACCTCACGGTGTGGACATTTTTTAATAAAAACACTGTGCTCTGTGATTAAAAACATAACAGCAACATCACGTTATCTCATTCTTTTTTCGCGCTCTTGAGCCTAATTGAAGCCTATTGGTTTACTTCTCACAGTAACCATTTGAGTATTTCTATTGCGCTTGCTTCACACACAATATATATGCTCAAAGCTAACATTATTACCTCGGTCAATGGATCAGTGTCGGTTTCAACCCAAGCTACTCTGAAGGTCATATGACCATTTTAGGATTGGGACGGGTCCAAATTTTCTACCTGGGTACCCCACCCCTATTACCCTACCCTACCCGGATACCCGATATGTAAATTCCTGACATCAAATTGGTAAGAAATGGCAATATATTCGTCAGCTGGGAGGCTAAAATTTCGAGTTTTCATTATCTTAATCATGTATTATATTCAAACAGCTGACTGTAAATAACGTCTAAATGTTCAAAGACAATACAACCTTTTTATCATAAAAGAATAGCATATTACATTGTCACATGATCATAACGGAGTCCGGGTATTCAGACGGGTATCCGGGTCCAACTCATTACCCACCCGTCCAGGGTATCCGGGTTACCCGTCCCAGCCCTAGGCCATTAGGTATCCATTCACTGCTGGGTGAACAGAGGCATATTATGAACAAAGTCACGTACAGATGAGACCACTTGCGTTTCATGTGCTTTGTTGTGGGACTGGTTTAAAACCTAAGAAACTTACCCATTTAATGAGTCACCGTGACCAGAGTTGCTTAACTTCAACTGATTTGTGACCTGTGCTCTTTGCACAGGATCACATGCCACCATAATCGGCGTCTCGTTTGATAAAAAAAATCCGTGTGTTTTCAGAAAATGATCATTTCGAAGGAATCTGAAGGTCTGATTGATCAATTACTTTGTATGGCTCTGTATTGCACGAAAATATCCCCTCTTATAACTGCAACAGAAGTGAAGTTCCGTCTCTGCACATCACATCATACAGTGTTTGACAAGAACATGTACACGCATCTTGCACAACACCGCACAATAGAGATATGTGATAGTCAGTGATTGAATTCAATGGAGCGACAGTAGAATCAAATTCACATTGAGACGGTGTAACCGGTTAATTGCTAATTGCATCCATTTGTTCATGGCGGTTCCACGTGATCTATGTGAGTGATGCATGAAATTTGGAAATTTGGAGAAATGGCATCGCCTTCCTGTGTTTTGTAATGAAAAAGGCGAACGATTTCATTATTTCAATCATGACTCAGTGAGCGTGTTTAGTTTTACGCCGTTTTTAGCAATATGACAACAATATCACGACGGGGGACCCCAGAATTGGGCTTCATACATTGTACCCATGTGGGGACTCGAACCCGGGTCTTCGGCGTGGCGAGCGAACGCTTTAACCACTAGGCGACCCCACCACCCCTTACATCAAATTTAATCCTGACATCAAATTTAGAGCATAGCGTTAGAGACATAATGATGTACGGTTGGTGGGTTGGGTAGACTGCGCCATGCACTGTTCCTTCAGGACGTGGACTTCACAGACTTCACACATGGAAGTGAGGGAGTGAGGGAAAATTCCAGCGATAGGTATATCCGAGATATTCTTCCCATATTATACCCATATAAAGAACCGACATCGGACCTTTGACGTGACGAGCAAATGCGTGAATACCTGTGCTACCACACTGACCTCACCCATGCACAAGGAAATTGAACGCGATGTGTTTACACGCAAGAGTTCCAGCCACCCTGTGTCTAACAGAAGAAACGTTATATCTAAGAGGAAAGACCGGAAGCTTTCTTAGCAGGATTTAACCTCACATTTCTGTGTCAGATTGCTTTTACATAAAATAAGAGACTGGCAAATACAATGTGAAAATACAGTTATGTAAACGTAGATCTGATACTCCCAAAACACGATTCGAAATGTTCCTCACTACAGAAATAGTGTTGGATATAATATCAGATGACTCCATTACAACGCAAAACAAAACCAGTGCATCCCGGCCAGAAGGCACAGCAGCTAAGAAGTCAGCTTGAAGTAAGTAACATCAAGCGTATATCCTAGCTATGCCATATTACTGCACATTTGATTTGGGAGGGTTGTTCTAAATGCCAGAAGAGGTAAAAGGGGAATTTGACTCGAGTGTGTGAATCTTCATGCCACTCGATATTTCCTTTTAAATATAAAGAACACGCGTTGGGAATAGATCCCAGGGCAGACGCCATGCTAAGAATATCTCAGCGGAAGTGCATGTGCCTGCACCAAGGTGAAATGCATTTGCCGTGCAAACATCTTGGTGCATATTCAAGTGGTAAGGTGAACAGTGCACTGCACTGCGCTGCAGAAAACGTCCTCAACATTGATGTATATGCAGCTAAAATTCCACTTGGAAGCTTGCCATTATCGCTTGGACGTACCTTACACCGACCTTCTCGTAGACTAAACGTCCAGGGGAATAGCATGTGACGAGTATGGTTTATTATCTCCAGACATGGCTTCATACACTCATAATTAGATTACTGGTTCATTCTGTGTACTTCTTGTAGCTGACAGTTTCGAAACAAATCTGTTTAGTGGTTGTGTTGATGTCTTTGAGAAGAAATATGCTTTCAAGCTCTTGTGCTTTGAGTGCACGAAGGTGCCTGTTTGTCTGTGCCGTGTCTGCAGTTTTGGAAATGGTTAATACCGTGTTCAGTAATATTCCAGCTATAAGACTTCCGTTCGAAAATAGCCCTGCCTGGATAAGACAATTCAGTGTTTGATATCGTGATCACCGATCTATGACGTCGGGGTACGATGCCATTCGTTTATTTAATTCGTCGAATCTGACAACTATATCCATAGTTCGTATCTTAGGATAGTACTGAGTGAGTGAGTATGGTTATATTCCGCTTTTAGCAATATTGCAGCAATATCAAGGCGGGAGACACCAGACAAGGGCTCCACACATTGTGCCCATGTGGGGATTCGAACCCGTGCCTTCGGTGTGACGAGCGAACGCTTTAACCACTAGGCTACCCCACAGCCCTAGAACAGTA